TTTCTAGCTCAAAAACCCTGATGATCACTTCTTTTAACATAATCAAAATATTACCAAGCAAAAAGGTCAGGAGAATAGAAGCTGACTGATTCCTTTCTTGACCATGATGGATTAAGCTTAATAATCAGAAATAATTTTAACATAATTAAAAAATTTATGTGAGCCTATTAACACCACATTGCACTCAAAATCATGTTATTGCCAATACAAAGAGGGCCTGGCTTTCAGGTTCCCAGCAGTTCCACTACAGTACCCTTGTTTCCTTTAAGTACATGTGTATTAAATTTTTTAAAATATCAATATCAATCATTTCATAAAGTAACAGCCAGTTCAATGAATAATTTAAGTTTTCCTGCAAAATTTGAACTGAATTCTTAGTTTTACCATGTCTTCCACCAAGCTCTCAGCCATTCTCCGTTCCTGGTCAAGTTCAAGCTCCAGTTGTTTTATCTGCTGCTCTTTACTGAGAAAAAAGAATGAAGAAACAATCAATATCACATGTAGTTAATGTACAGGCTGCATTATTGTGACATTTGAGTCTTTATGGTACAAGGGGAATTTATGTAACTTGATTAGTGAATGATTGGTAGAGTTAGTGAACCAATTAGTTGAGTCAGTTGCTTTATCTGCTGCTCTTGGCTGAGAAAAAAGAATAAAGAAACAATATCAACATCACATGCAGTCAATTTACTGGCTGCATTATTGTGATGTTAGAGTATCATGGTATTATGGTATATGTAACTTAATTAGTGAAAGATTAGTGGAATTATTGAACATTTAGTTGAGTCAGTTGCTTTATGATTGCTGCTCTTTGCATAGAAAAAGGAAATAAGAAACAATCAACCTGTGACACGCACTTAACCCTTTAACTCCCAAATCAAATTTGTCATTCTCCTTACTGTCAACCCTACAATTCTTATAACGTTAGTTCAGAGAATGTAGTACTGGATCAACCAATTATCCCCAAATTGATATTTCTCTTTTTTCTCATTATTTATCTAGTTGATATTGTATTGATATTGTGAGGAGAAAATTCTTTCTTGGTCAGTCATGGGAGTTAAAGGGTTAATGTGCAGGCAACATTACTGTGATGTTATAGTCTTCATTGTATTACAGTATATGTAATTTGATTAGTGAATGATCAGATGAGTTAGTGAACACATGTGTTTGGATATAGTGTATACACTCTTTACTAAAAAGTAATTAAAAAAATGTAATTTTCTTACCTGATTACCAAACACAGTGACCCCCATATTAGATACTTACATGACAAATTCAAATGAGAACATTTTATTCTACTATCTATTAGACACCAGTTGCAGCACACAGTGCTGTCAGTGCTAAGGACAATCTATGCACTCATCTCAGTTTTTGGTGACAATCAATTTCTTTATGCGACAAGTAACTAACTACAATTGTAAGAGTTTACTTACTCTCTTCTCTGAGTGAATAATTCATCAATGGAATTCTGTTCCCGCTCATTCTGAATTTTCAGCTTTAGTAGAAAAAAGATTACAATCAGTGTTCATTTGCAGCCTTGGCCATAAGGAACATACATGTACAACACACAGTGATATTATTTAACTGGGATTAAAAAAACAGGAAAAACTCACTGCATTGAAGTCTTGAACAATGTCATCCATTTCTGTGTCTGTGTTAATTTTGTCCAACAGCTGTTACAAATTTAAAATAGAAAAGATGAGAGAGCACTCATTCCTTTTACAACTGTATTTACTCAACTACCTAATTAGCATTGTCTATTTTAACAGCTAGAAGAACATTGTATCGATTTTGTGTTATTACCGTGTTATAATCAGCTAATTGTCCTTGGAGTTCTTTGATTTCTGTGGCTAAACCTTCAGCTCTGGAATGTGAAAAAGAGAACATTAATTTTATCAATTCCTCTTCATATATATTGAAAATGAATGCAGACATCCCAAACATTTCCAGTACATCTAGTCTTTCAATTACAATTATTCTAAATTTACATGTGGAAAACATGAAATTTGAATTCAGGCAAAACAAAAATTCTAGCACATCATGTCATTTTTACAAATTAAAGGACATGCAGCATTACACTATTTGCCATAACCCTTTAACCACTAAGAGAGGGTGGCATCTAATTTTTTCCTACAATATCATGCTGGACTCACACATTAAGGTCATGAGAATAAAGGAAATGATCACAAACTAAAGAAGCTCTTGATTGTTAAACAAATTCTCCTCACTAGTACCTTAAGAAATGCATAATAAAAAGAAAAGTTTGGAGAAAATGCACACTAATGTTAGGGTGTAAAGGGTAAAAAAGCTGTGAGATTATAATGATAGTAAGTATACTGCAGAAAAATATAAGAAAAAAAAACCCATCATACCGTTTTTCATAAGTTAGAAATGTTGCATTCTCTTGGTTGAACTGGTCAACCTCTTTTTGCATTTTTGCTATCTCTGCTGCAAGCTCTGTAATTTTTGCCCTGAGACAAACAAACAAGCAAAATATTAAATAACATACTAGTCATATAATTTTTTTGTAAGAGAAAAATAATTTTTTTACATCCCTTTTAAATTGATGTTAAGGATGCTAGGATCAATGTCAGTACCTAAATAACTGCACACCAACATGTACCCCTCCCACCCCTCCCAACAACAGTTGCCTGATAAAACGATAAGGGCTGATGTTGGGTTAAGGGAGGGGTAGGTGGGTATTTGCTCAGATACTGACATTGATTTGGATGCTAAATATACTTAAATTTAAACAAACATTTGAAATTTATTTGTCTAATGGCTATTGCAACTCTGTATAATCATAAACTTGAAAACAAGCACACTATACACTAATCTTTTCACTAACTGGGGTGACAAACTCTTCAAATGCATACTGCTTATAATC